GCCCCTGGCCGCTCCCCTCCTCCCTCAGGGGACGCTGGCGGGCCCCCTCCGGCGCCTGGCTGAGGGAGGGGCTGTTAAGGGCAAGCCCCGCGCCTGGGTGCTGCCCCGTTCCGGCGCCCCGGGGCAGGGAGAGGAGGGGGCAGAGCTGCGGACGCCCCGCGTGGACCCTGTTCTGCCCGGACTGGATCTGAGGTACCCGCTCCGCGTCGGGGAAACCGCCCTGGGAAGGTCCGCCGTACCCTTCCGGTGGCGCATCGCCCCCAGCCCTTCGGGGCATAGGCTGGGCCCGGTGCCGCTCTGCGAGCGCGGCTCTGGTTGTAAAGAGCTATGGGGGTGTGTTTCTGATCCGTGCTTGCCAAAAACTAGTGAAAACAGTGGGGCTTTAAAAAAGTTTCCCCTTTTACAAGCCTAAATTAGGACTTATTTTGGTGGGCGTTTAGCTCCTAATGGGAATCGATTAACTGTCGCTGGAAACTTGAGAGGTAGGCGAGTTGTTTAGAGGGCCGCCTTAAAAATAGAGAAAGCTCTTTCGTGGGAACTTGAGGAAATGCAAAGAAAGCACCTTGGCAAAGTTTGACGCTTCAAATACCTACAAAGGAAGTTCTTGTTTATTTGTTAAGAAGTGTTGAGATATTTGCCAAATGATGTGGACTGTCAAATGTTTTGTATTTTATTTACTACACTTGGTTTAGGCAACTCTTAAAAAAATGTAATCCTGCTTGTGTAAATAAGTTTACATAATTACGTGCTAATTTCTTCAGGCCTCTTTGAAGTCTGATTGCAAATTTTGCACTATATTGTTTGAATTAAGCCAAGGCTTTGTTTCAGAAGTCTTCAAAGCTTAAGTGAATTGAGTGCTGACTTTAAGAAGTGACTAAAACAGGGCTTTTGGAAGCTGATCTAATGTTAAAGTTTGTGAAGTCAAGATTTTCTGTGTGCCGTGGGAGTTTCTAACAACTGATAACATTTTCCTTTCCTACAATATATCAAGAGCAGCTTTTTCTTGAGCTTTATCTGCAAAACTTATATTTTGGCCTACACATCTTCCAAGATCACATGAAGGAACTGTCAGGTGGAAAATTGAAGTTTTGTGTTGACTTTGTGGTTCATATCCTTGACAACTTCATAGGACAAAGTTTCTGCTTCATTGGCCTGAACTTGAAACCAAAAAAGTTCCAACAGCTTATGTATCCTGTTTGTTGTTTTTCTTGCAGTGTTACTCCTCTGTTCCTTCTTATAAATGCTGTTTGAAAGTACTACGCTTAATCCATTTTCCTTTCTTATCTCTGTGATCTTCCCAGATTTGTTCCTGAAAGGATGGTCCCTTTCAGTTTCCCTCTGTCAAAGTGTGCACTTTGGGACCCAGTTCCTATGGGTGATGGCATTGGCTCACATATTACCTATTACAGGTATGAATAACCTTTTTTAAGCGGCTAAAGGTTAAAATAAATTAAGAATTATATGATTCAAAGCCTTATTTTAGCTTTTGAGTCTAGCGTATGACGAGGCACAAAGGAAAAAGAAACAACCGGTGTGTTCATTGTAAGTATATAGGGATTTTCTTTGGAAAGACTTGAGAGTTTCCCTTTCGGTGGTGTAATGCAGTCAAGTGGGTTGGAGGTGCCTCAGTCTCAAGTAACTTACAATTTCTTTCGGTTTCCTTCCCGTATGGAAAGGTGCGAAAGTAACTGCATGTTTGTAGTTTTCTTTAAGGTGTTTTTCCTTGTCTCTAAATATTTACAGAGAAAAAAAAATGTTTTTGACAAACTGGATACAGATAGTGTGCTTCAAGTAAACCTTAAAACTAAGCATTTTGCTTGCTTAAGGAATCTGGATTAAAATGCCAAAAGTTCTGATGGTTTTTTTTGTTTAGAATGAGGCTAGGGGCAAATTTGAAGCACTTGTGAATTTCTAGGGCAGGATATTCCAAACCTGACTTGTAAAACAGATGGAGGGTAAAAATTGATCCGTGTTACTTAAATGGGTAATTTTATATAGATGTTACAAAAATCTTACTGTAGTTACTAAAGCAAGTGTATGAGCAAGTATATGCGTATGTGCTTTATAAGGGTGGACAGCCCTTACCTACAGGTCAGAGGGGCCTCCGCTTTTACTTGCCACTTAATGTTCTTTGAGTTAATATTAAAACCTCCAAGTTTTAACAAAGTTTAAAATAAATTACTTTTATTTTTATGGAGACATCACTTAGTTACTCTTGAGCAGGTAGGATATGAGCTGTCATCATAGCATTCACATAAACAAGTAGCTTTACTTTCTACTTTGATCTCTTTCCAAGTCAAAATCAGATAAGCTATCTCAAGCTAAAATAATGTTGATGTGTTTACTGCCCTAGATTCCAAATTTACTTTTTTTTTTACTAAATAGTGATTTTATAATTACCTAATCTTTCTCCATATTTGCATTCCTGTGTCACTGAGCCAAATCTGCTGCTGTTTTAAGCATCCACACGAAATATTGTGCTAAAATGAGAGGACACCACATCAAAATTAGTTAAGCTTTTTGGACTATTCTACTCTTTAAACTTAGGAGATTTTTTAGAGGCTCTGTGTTTTGGTCTTAGTGTTTCTAACTTTTTCCACCTTCTATTAAAATAAGTCACTTGTGTTCGTCTCTAGTTCTTGTGACAGTGTTGCCCTTCAGATGAAAAAGCTTTTCCCTCTGCTTGTTACTTATTCTCCATAGAAAAAAAAGCTCTTCTCTCTCCTTGCTATTTATTCTCCACAGGAAAAATTGTTTCCCCTCTGATGTTGGTTTGCTGGACTAGTCAAGCCAAAATATTCTTGTTGAGATGATCGTACAGAGCATTCTGTGGAGCTGCTCCAGTTAAAATATGGCTTTCTTGAGTACGAATAGTTGGGGTGATACACAGAACAGGAGCTAAAATTCCACTGATGTTTTATATAATATTGTTAATTCTTACTTTTTTGTTGTTTAGTGCTTTGGGCTGTTTCTGTACGTTTTCTTTTTAAAGGACAAAAAAAAATGTGGAAGCTATTGCAATATAATAAATACTTTTTAAAAAAGCTTTAAAAATAATTTGGGTCTTAAACTTGCTTATTGTCTCTTTTTAGAAACCCAAAGTTATCTATGATGGAGAAAACTTTGCGACTTGCCTATCGCCATGCTAAGCAGAATGAAAAGAAATTATTTTCCTGTTTTTTGCTTGGGACTCTTGCAGTAGATGAAGGTAACTTTAAACATCAGGTAGACAGACAATACTGGTTGGTTGAGTAAGCCGTTATCAAGGAGCCTGAGTTGTTGCTCTTGGACTCTGACATTTATTTATTTATTTTAAAGATGGGGAAGGTGTAACACTAACAATAGACCGCTTTGATCCTGGTCGAGAAGTTGCTGGTGGATCGGGCAAAATTCCATCTGCGCCTCTTCCTGGAGACTTTTTGATTCCGTGTACAGTCAATGCCTGGGGACCTTCTTCAGACAACATTGTAGTGCACAGTGCTGAAGATATCAGCCTGGCTTTCAAGGTAGGCAGCTCTTTGCAACTTTTGGGTTTCTTCATAATGAACTGTCTTCTAGACAGGAGACTGGACTATGCACAGGGCTTGACTTCCAACCACCATCAATTTCAAACACAGCAAAGGTGTGGCTGAAGCAAGGCTGTTTAGTTGGTTATGTGGAATGAGCTGATCGAGTGTCATTGGAAAGTGTATCGGAAACTATTAAAAACAGTTAGTCTTCACAGGTGTTTAAGGATCACAGAGTCTTTAATCTTGGACTAAAATCTTGCTGTCTGACCAAAGTTTTTCAGCTGATCTGATCGCCAAAACCAGCAAGACAACAGTGATTGCAGCAAACATACTTAAACAAGAAAAAACAGCTTTTTGTTTCAAATCTATCATGAATGAGTTGCAGTATTGCTAGGCAAATTACTTGCAAGAAAGCATGTAAAGTCTATGTAGGTTAGTAGTTATAGCTGAAATGTGTGCCTGTTGCTTCTGTGCTCTGCTGTAGACATATAATCTAGTAAATACACCTTCCGTTCCTGTAAACGTTTGCCTGTAGTTGTTGTGTGTACTTTATAACACAAATAATGGTTACTTCACATCTAAACTTTCTCATGATGATGCATCCAGATGTTAAAATACAAATTTCTTGAATGCGAGCAAGGAAACTTTGACAGATCACCTTGAGCCTTCTAGTTGCCTGTTATTTTATTAATTTTTATACAATTTAAGTAACCCCAGGTTTTTGAACACATCATAAAACAGTAAGATATGCATAGCATAATTTCAAGTGTATTTTACATTATTCATTATATTCAGTATAGCCATGAGCTTTGGAGACCTGGGGTAACAGCTTTTTATGCAGTGCCTACTGCAATAGTAGCTACGATGAATGATTTGAGTTCCTAGTGTAACAGAACTTGAATCATGGTAGTCATATGAAGACAATTTAGTGTATCTAACCTTTTGCTCTTTTCCCTACTTCTAGGGTCTGCAGCACAGTCTGTGCAGTAAAGAATCACTGGATCTTCCTAAACTGCTCACTGTTAGAGCTCACATCGTTTTCACAGAAAACCTGGATAATCTACATTTTAATTTTCACTGGGCTTCTATTACTCTAGCAAATATCTTGGAATACACCCCCGTGAAGTCTGTCCCAATTATTCCCACAGCCCTAGCAAGAAATTTGAACAGTCCTATGAATATTGCACAAGTTCAAGGAACTTACAAATGTGGGTGAGTAAAGGGTGATGCTAAAGCTATCAAAGTTGCCTGGCAGTTTGTTGCATTTCCTAAAGCAGGTAGGTAGGCAAGATCTCAACCAGTGCTTTGCTTTTTAGTAACATAACTGTCATAAAAATAACATAACTTCTTGGACTTGGAAAACTTTAAGATGTTATAAACAAGAAACAGGAAATGGGGTGGGGCAAAAATCTTCACTGGTTCAGTAGGAGTTCTTGCTTTTGACTTCAGTAGAAGGATCTTCCTATTGGGGCAGGGGGACACACCTCTAGTTAACATAATAGATAGAAACAGCATCCAGCTCTTTAAACAATATCAGTGCTTGCCCTAGAATGAAAATCAGATGAATGTGAACCAAAGCTTTTTCTGTTAATCATGTTTATAAGATGGTATTGGGGGAATTATCAGTCAGAATGACAACTGATTTAGTAGGGTGAACTAAGGATGGATCAGGGAAATAATTTGAAGTGACTGAATGTCATTTTATTTGGAGAGAGACCTTGTGAATGTCTCTCTGAAAGTTACCCTTCAAATTTAACATGACTTGCATTTCTGGATTTTTTGTGAATACTATAATGCTAAGCAAATTTTGTCCTCGGTAATTCTTTGATACACAGGGAATTGATGGAAAGGTGAGGAGTTGCTGTAAGTGTGGAGGAAGAATGGTTTTGATTTCCTCCCCTCCCCACCCCCCAAACTTTTTCTTACAGTATTTTCTAAACTTGTATTTATCTCTTCAGGATTTTTTCTGAAAGACTGCCTTCCAAAATACTAAAAAAAAATCCTGACTTCTGCTTTCTTTCAGCTACCTTACTATGGACCAGACACGAAAATTGCTTTTGCTGCTCGAGTCTGATCCCAAGGCTTATGCTCTGCCATTAGTTGGAGTGTAAGTGTTTGGCTCTGTACAGATTAATACACACATTGATTTGAGATGTATTTGAGGAATTACATTTGTGGAAACTTGGTAATGGAACTGTCTCTAATTGGATATTTCTTCTTACTTCTAGTTGGCTGAGTGGAGTTACTCATATCTGTAGTCCTCAAGTCTGGGCCTGTTGCTTGCGATATTTATTCAGTTCTTCAATTCAAGAAAGGCAAGTCACTTTTATCTATAAAACACAGAAGCTATTGGCTGCCTAAAAATGTATTCCGCAGAAATGCATGGCAACATGGTCTCTGTTCAAAGATATTTGAGGGAATTCTGTGATTTATATGTTATATGGGAGGTAAGGCTGTCTGTTTTAATTGTTCTTTCTGGTTTTGACTTCTGCCTCACAAATTTTCTGTGACTGAAGTGTTCAGAAGCTGGGCTGATATCTCAAAGACAGAAGAGGGTAAACATTAATATCATTAAGGTCACTGCATTTTAGTTTAAATAAGAAGCAGCAAGCAGGAAACTAGTTTAAACGGTGGTGGGGTTTGGTTTTTGTTTTTGAACTTTTCTTATTGGTGTTTTCTTTGACATAAGCTTTCTCCCTTGTTGTATCTGACCAACATATTGAAGCATATTGATTTGCAGCTAATACTGTCTTGTTATGCTGAATATTCTGTTTTTATAGGGTTTGCATTCTGATTTTTTTTTTTTCATTGTGAAGTTAGTAGATAATCACTTTTCATTCTCTACATCTTTTCACTTGTAACATTTCCCAAGTTCTATTTATACGGAAGCTGGGAGGGAGTTCAGGTGTTCATAGTTTAAAACTGCTCTTCAGGTAAATGAAACTTTAAAATATGCTGTATGCATAAGAATTTCTTCTGCTCGACCACACTTGCTTTTAAATTATGAAATAAAACCACATTTGGTGAACAGATGTCTGTAATTACAGAATAGACTTTTTTTCCCTTAACAATTTAAATATGGCAAATACAGATAAGAGCCCAATTAGATTATTAGATAGGCAAGTTAGATGCTTGACTCTCATTAACTTTCACTGGTTCCATCTTGGAAGTGGATTAGGCAGATTTGATGAACCGTGCAAACAGAATTAACCTCTGCAAACTAACTGCTCAATCTATGCATCATATATTTTTAACTCTTAAGTTGTAAGTATAATTTTAAAGTTGTGTGTGAATGCATTTTTCAACCATCTTGTTCCTACTGCTTTCTCTATCGCATATATTATTTAAAGAAAAAACAAACACCACTCCACCCCCCAAACAAGCGTATTACAAGTGCTTTAAAAAGAAAAATTGTTCTGAAAGCAGTACTACCTTTTCCTGGAAATGCACGTTATTTTCATTATCCTTGATCTTTTGTGTTAAATGTTGACTGTTGACTGTTGTTACTCACTGTTCCGTTCCTGTAGGAAAAAACTTCGATATAATTTTTCTTCAGAAAAAATCTGATTGCTAATGAGCATTTTTTGAATGTTTAGGGATAACTGAAACACTAAATGTCTTTATAATACATCTTCAATTGAATTATAAAAAAAAAAATCACAATATCATTTTTACAGATGTCATCTTCTATGCTATGATTGAAGTCTTCCAGGGATTCATTTAAAGTGTACTAAGTGATCCTTTTGAACTAGAAAGTAGACAAATTATTCCCATTTCTCTACTTTGCTTTGATTCTTGCGTGTGGCATCAGTCAGGAGTCCTATCTATAGCTCAGTACCACTCAAAATGCAATGATTCACCAGTTTGCTAAACTGTGTGATAGTTTGCTCAGCATATTGAGAAACTAAGGGCCTTCTTCCTGTTTCTTAAGGTTTTCTTAAGTTGTGTTTTTTTCTATTTTAGGGTTTTTTCAGAATCTGGGAGTTTTCTTATTGTGCTTTATTCATTGACACACAAGGAACCAGAGTTTTATGAGTGCGTTCCATGCAGTGGACAGGCTGAACTAGGGTTTCAGATCTTAACTTGCAATGAAACAGTGCACCTCTTCAAAGTAAGTGGCTTGGTTTCCTACTGCATCGTGGTACTTTAAAATTTGACTTTTGGTGTAAGTACTTAAAGGAAGAGTCATTATAATGTGACCCAAATGGAACTGCAGTGTTTTAAAATGATGTAGCTCTATAAAGCTACCTTTTTACAGTGATTACTGTAAATTCAGTTTGTCTCTCAAATTGAGAGATGACCTCCAAAGTCAGCAACTGCTCACCTTTCTAATAGCATTAAGAATCTGTCTTTTAAAATGTAGTGTGCTGTGTTGGACTTGGTTAGTGCTCCTTCTTACTGTGTCACTTTTCTTACTTAAAAGTGACCTTTTAAGCTTTATGAGCGGAGATTTTGATTTCCTATAGCATTTGTCAGTCTGGTATGCTATGTGCACGCTGGACACATCTAACAACTGCTATGGGTGATGCACATCGGTGCTTTCTGAGAGCAAAGCTAGGTATTTGTGCTTTGCTTGAAGTTGAATGCAAAAGGGAATTCAGTGGTTACTAATCTGCAGATCTCTTGCTGCGCCACAGTAACAAAGCAGGAGCGATTTTATCTTTGTGCAAAGTAACTCTTTGAAAGAATTTGATGATACGATGTCTGGGAGATAACTAATAAGGTTAGAGGAAATTCTAGGAAATTCAGTTCCTTATGTGTTTTCCTAGGCTTGTACAGAACCTGAAGTTGAATTGTTAATCTGCTTGATAAATGCTCCTATGCTCTGGCAAAGAAGCAGCTGGTGTAATGTGTGTCCTGTGCTGTTTACTCTGTTCTCTTTCCAATTAAATTTCCCTGTTCAGGGCTGCCTTCCACCTTTAGTCTAGGTACAGCTTAGCTTTCTGAAGATAACAAGCCTCTTAACAGAGGCTCACTTCTGTTGTCTCCAGGACTTGTCCAGCTGTGGTGTGTGAAACAGTATAGGAACAGTTGCTGTTTCCTATAGTGGTGAAGGCTTGTGGAAGAGTATCTAAGCAGTTACAGCAAGGAAGCATCTGCTCATGGCTATAATTAGGCCAACTAGTTTAGAGTACCAGGGGGAACAGTGTTAAACAGGAAGCGAAGTTGCCTGCCTCCTTGTAGTGGTGAAAGAATTGAGAATTGAAAGTAGAGGAGAAGCAGCAAATAATCAGGTATAAATGTCCTTAAAGCTGTTTCTTTGGAAGTAGTACCTCAGTGATTAAAAGTTGAAAGTTTCATGCTTCACAAATACAGAAAACTTCATTCCAGAATGTTGAACCTTCAGACAAGAGCCGCATCCAGTTTGAGTTGAGTGCAGAAAACCAAAATGCAGAAACTGAGTTCTTCAGCAGAGTTTGCAAGAAACTTCCTATCAGAAGGTAAATCTTTCAGACGTCATTTATACACAAAAATGAAATATTTATTAGATGAGGATTTTTGACCTCTGCTGTCCCAGGTGTCAGTTTAGCTGTGCATACAGTGATCTCACATTAAAATCTGTATATGTGCTGTTGTTTATTCCTAGAGTTAATATTCTTCAAGTAAGATGGTCAAGCTGACCATATTCCAAGAGAAACTACTGGTAGTTCTACTCTTGATACTGGTGGTTGTAATTCATACAGCGGATGCTTCTAAAAAGGCTTCCTTACTGATGGAGCTTAGTTCACTGTATTAAGCTTTCTGTGAGATCTGTCCTTTGAAGCAAATCTTTAATTGAAATCTACTTAAGTTGGTAAAAATTCCTTTTTCCTTCCGACTTCAGAGCTGCGAGACCTGGATAGGTTGAAACTTAGGGATTTTTAAGAACCTGACTTATCCATCAAATTTTTATCTATGACTATAAGATGGCCTTTATTTCCCTTTAAACAACATTACAATCTTTACTGTAGCACTCCCTATCTTTCTAATATAAATCAGTGCTTTGCTGTTAGAATGTCACTTAAAACGTGTGTGTGTCTGAGGGTGTGGGGAGGGAAGGTTAGTATCTTTTTGCCCAAAAGCAGTATTTGTATTTGCGCTGTTTGATCTTAGAGCTGTTTGCTGTGTGAATTCCCTAGCTAACCAGGGAGGAGATGTATAGCAACTGCTTCTTGAAAAAATGATGCTGATATTGCACTGTAGATGGCACAGTGAAAAACATGAAGATTCACGTTACTGCTGCCAAATCTGAGAAGAAAACATTTTTAGCTTGATTTATGTTGGTTTTAGTCCTCCCCTAGGCTGTTCACCCAGCAAGTTGTCAGCAAGCGATCACGACTCCGGTGTAGAAGATGAGGATTTATCCCCCAGACCAATTCCAAGTCCTCACCCAGTGAGTCAACAGGTAACTGAGTAAATAATTGTTCTAGGCATCTCAGATGTGACACTTAGAGCAGCAAAACTCATTGTAAGGGGGCTGGAGAGTATAAAGCTTCTGTCTCAAAGTGTTAGCAGGGGAAAATAGAACTGAAGAAATGGACCAAGAGTCCCAACTCCTGCTGTAGTTAACCTGCCTTTTTTCCAGGATTATAGACACTTTATAGAATCATAGAATAGTTTGGGTTGGAAGGGATCTCTAAAGGTCATCTAGTCCAACCCCCCTGCCGTGGGCAGGAACATCTTCAACTAGACCAGGTTGCTCAGGGCCCCATCCAACCTGACCTTGAATGGTTCCGGGGATGGGGCATCCACCACCTCTCTGGGCAACCTGTGCCAGTGTTTCACCACCCTCAGCGTAAAAAATTTCTTCCTTATATCTAGTCTAAATCTACCCCCCCCTTTAGTTGAAAGCCATTCCCCCTTGTCCTGTCGCCACAGGCCCTGCTAAAGAGTTTGCCACCATCTTTTTTATAAGCCCCCTTTAAGTACTGATAGGCTGCAATAAGGTCTCCCTGGAACCTTCTCTTCTCCAAGCTGAACAACCCCAATTCTCTCAGCCTTTCTTCATAGGAGAGGTGTGCCATCCCCCTGATCATTTTTGTGACCCTCCTCTGGACCTGCTCCAATAGGTCTGTGTCTTTCTTATGCCGAGGGCTCCAGAGCTGGACGCAGTACTCCAGGTGGGGTCTCACCGGGGCAGAGTAGAGGGGCAGAATCACCTCCCTCGACCTGCTGGCCACGCTTCTTTTGATGCAGCCCAGGATATGATTGGCCTTCTGGGCTGCGAGCGCACATTGCTGGCTCATGTCCGGCTTTTCATCCACCAGTACCCCAAGTCCTTCTTGGCAGGGCTGCTCTCAATCCCTTCATCCCCCAGCCTGGATTGATACCGGCTGTTGCCATGACCCAGGCGCAGGACCTTGCACTTGGCCTTGTTAAACCTCATGAGGTTCACACGGGCCCACTTCTCTTTGATTCCTGTATATGCTAGGATTTGGGAACAGAGATAGTAGGTTCTATTTTGGGAACCTTGCTACCATTAAATGGAAGAGCCGTGGTGTCTGAGGCAAAGATAGAGGCAGCAAACTCTTTCTTGTGTATTTCTGGGTAAATGAAATAAAGATCTGCTGGTCTGTCCTTTTTTACTGAAGCATCTATAAATATGATGAAATAGCAGACCTCATACAGCATAGGTCTAGAAGGATGTGACAGTTGTGGATTATAAAATATGTTCTGTTGCACCTGTCTACTGGGCCTAAGAATAGCAAGAGGGAACATGTAGTCCACTTCTTGAAGGGGAAGGGTCCATACTCTGAAATGCGCTCCAGGATGAATGGAGCGTTCATTTGGTAGACATGGCTATTATGCCTTATGAAAGCAATTTTGTCTTCTAAGAATGATCCTAGAGATCTTGCTGCTTTTTCTGTGTCTGGATTCTCCAATATTTAGAAAAGTATTCAATGTGTCGTTAGTTTGGAGCTGGTAATGGTCATGTACCGATTTTAAATGAAAACATTTTCTTTGAAATTCTGCATGTGAAGAGCGGAAAGATGATATCTTAAAATGGTCTTAAACTTGCTTGTGTACTTGTCCCTTCAGGTTACCAGGATCTTTCCTTCAGTTCCTGAACTGTCACTTGTTTTGGATGGGAGTTTCGTAGAATCAGTACAATCGTCGAAGCCTATGGGGAGTTCAAATGCTAAAAGTCTACCCTCAGCGCTACATCAGCCTATTAAAAAGAAATGGTGCTTGGGATCTACATATTACCCCACCCAGCACTCTGAAGACAAGCAAAACTTTTCTGTGAATATGGGAGATCCCTCTTTGAGGCAATTACCAAACCATTTAAACCAGAAAATTCCGACTTCAAGGCCTTCCAGAGGAAAGCAAGCTCTACTACAGCAACAGTTGCCCTGCAAGAAAGCTTGCCCTCAATCAAGAAAAAGTTCCGGATCTTCTTCTCCTTCAACCCCTTGTAGTGGGCCTTCCCCAGATACATCTGTGGATCACCCCAGAAAGCCATCAGAAAGACTTGTATTAAATTCCGATGGAGCTGCACAGCAGGGAGAGCCTCCAATTAGAAGAACCTCAATATCCAGTTCCAAGCAGCTTCCTGCTGTTACGCAGCCAGTCCTCTACAGCTCTGCTTTTTCACCACAGAGCTGCAAAAGACCGCCAGAACTGCAGGTGCCGCTTCAGGTGCCACCTTGCTGTCCAGCCAGCGCGTGCAACTGTCAGTGTCCTGCTTCTGTCCAATACAATCCAATAAACTCATGGCAAGGAATTGGTAAAATGAGCCCCAAACATGGAGTGGAAATCCAAATGGAGATGGCTCAACAGAATCCATGTCCAGTGCTCCATCAAAATATCATTTGTCCAAATATTTGCTGTAATCCAGGATATAACACAAGCAGCCCTATAAGCATGGGATATCATGGGAAAATGGGGAATCATTCTCTCGACAATAGCTTATTGCCTGGAGTAAGACTGCCTTCAAGTGCAAGTCCCTCTAGTCTGCAGTTTTGTGCAGCCCACTCACCGTGCCTGCACATGCCCGCTTCTAAAGCGGGATCAGATAATGGAATGATGGGATTATCGCCAGATGCCTACCGGGTTCTTACAGAACAAGATAGACAACTCAAATTACTTCAAGCTCAGGTTTGTGGAAATGGCAGCTTTCTCCTCTGCCCTCTTAGTGATTATGCTTTGATCGTTCCCCTGCCAAAGGAATTAATTTAACTGTTGTCTATCCTTGTTGGAACAAGAGAGTCTCTCATACCAGCTGCACTTTGGGGATGGAGGGGTGTCCTGATTAGCTCTGCTAATTGTTGTCCCTTAAATTAAAACTATTTTACTCTTTCCTAATTAAATTTTGCATTTATTTTTATCGTATTTCCATAACATGAAGGTTTCCCTTTTAAGCAGGCTGTTTTATAATGCAAACTGTTATGCCTTCTATATAAATGCTTTCCTATATATATGCTTGTCTATGTAAAAAAAAAATTTACTGCGTAGGCTTTCAGCTTTGGAATTATCGTAAGTGTACAGGTGAAGCATAGAATGTTCTCGTGTGTGGCTTTGTCCACCTTCAAGCCTGCAGCTTCCTGAGCTATTGAGGCTGTTGCTTAGAAAACTTCAGTTGTCTGTTTGCAGCAGACTGGCAGGATTCATCAGGTGTTTGTTGCTGGGCTGAAAAATTGGGCTTTGCTGGTCTCCCTAAGTTCTGTTTCGATACCAGGTTACGTTTCTTCAAAACATCGACCTCTTGAGTTACACTGCTGGCCCTGTTTTTTGTAGGGTATGATTTGGGGCTGAAGAGCCAGAGTTTAAATTTTGCTGCTGGTGATGAATGATAGGAATAGGAAAGCTGGTACAGTTGCTCATAATACATACTTTTTCTGCTTAAACTAGAAAATTGCAACTGAAATATGCTTTAGATATAGCTGCTGTATGTAAAATCAAGCTCTCAAAGCGTGGGTTGTGCATGAGGGAGGGAAACCCCTCCTTACTGTATAAATGCAGACTTCACTGTTATGATATTTCTCCATGGAGCTGTGAACTAATTGGTGAACAGGGTGGATGCAAATACTAGAGTGAAGATTGCCTGGGCAACCTTAATTTTATAATTATAAGTGCTTAGTTTAGTAATTAATACAAAGTTGGTTTAGCATGGTGTAGGGACAGTTGGCATATAAATGCTTGGCTGGTAAGTCGGTAATAGGCTTTGTATATGAATGAAAGGGACAGAGAATACTTCCAACAAGTGTAGTGCAAATAGGCTTTACGCAAGTTGCCTTGGTGTAGTTCTGCCAGCGTGCTTAAAACCTCTTCTTGGCGAGCTCTGCCAGCGTCAAAATTGATGTTCTGATTTATGCTGCATGCACTGCTGAGAACTGGAAGGTTATCAGACTTCTGTGGCAATGCAGCCTGGATTTGAATCCAGGCCTTAGAGGAGCCCAATTTAGTAATTCACTTTTGCCTGTTATACTTTATATTTTATTGTACAAATCATAACTTTCTGTTACAGATCCAACGCTTATTGGAAGCACAGGCTCGTCAGGCTTGTTCCTCTGAACCAGCTGCGGCTAGCTGTGCTCTGCAGCCTGAGAAGCAAGGGGACCTTGTTTCTATGGAAACACAGTCCTCACCGGGTTCACACATGAGGAAAAGTGTGAGCATTGCTGTCAGCACAGGTAACACTTTATTCTTTAAAAATAGACTGGCATCAGTTTTTCTGGATGTTTCTGTGATTTGTTTGGGCATGGAGGGAATGTTTTGCAGAAATGCTGAACGTATGCAAACGTGCACCAGATACAAACACCAGCTAAGTTCTCTAGGTGTTATTTGCAAGTTGAGGCTGGAGCTACTTCTGTCTTTGGGCTGCAGTGGCAGTGATTGCCGTCACTGGAAGTATTATTTTTCCAATAGCTTTAGCAATGTCTTCTATTTTAAGTTGTGCCTATAAAGAAAAAATCCACTTTTTTTAATTAATACACTGTTTTTAAAAATAATAGCTTCTATCCCATCTGGTGTTCTATTAAATATATTGTTGATGTTTTTTTGTAAGTCATGCATTTACATGCATGGAGAGGAGACTGTATTTGCTTTAATTTTAGCAAGTTATGCAGCTGTGTCTGTAAAGTTACATATTAATGTATTGGTTCCTGTTAAATCCATGGAAATACTGTGGTTAGTCTGGAGGAAATTTTCAAACTGGCTCAAGGTCAATGCATTAAAATGCTTTGATACAACCATTTATTTTCATCAAGTATGCTTTGGAAGAAACTAGGACTTGAATGATGTTTTGGCAACTCTTAGCTGTTCTAAACCATAAATCACTTCTAAAATAGTGGGGAAAAAAAAAACCCTGAGTGTGAGGAAATGATTCCTCTAGCTTTATAAAGCCAAAGAGTCTCAGAAGATAGTAATGACTTCCCTTAAACGGGTAAATCTCTAATTCTCTTCTAGGTGCTAGCTTGTTTTGGAATACAGCCTCAGAAAAACAAGACAACTCCATACCGCAAGGGAAGAAAGAGGATGAAGAGATTTCTAAGGAAGACATAAGCATCTCAATTAATGCTGAACAAGATGCAAGTAATACAAGTATTGCTTCTTCCTTAAAGGTGGTTGACATGCCCAGCTTCGTAGACAGTATTCATCTTGTGGAAGAAGGAACTAATCAGAACACTCTCCAGTAAGTAACCAGAAATACTTCATGTTCACATAATAAGCTGAACTGCCTTTCATAAGTTACTACTCTCATGATTATTTTTTTCAGGCATTATAAATAGTCACCTGACTTCTGTTGTGGTGTTCTTTCCCTTCTTTGGTTTTTAATTATGCTTTGAATTGTACAGCTCACCAAAACGCAGTTGCCTTTAGAGTCTGCATTTATCAGTCGTGCACGTTTAGCTAGCCTACCTATCAGCAGCAGCTGATGGCAAAAGCCTTTAACTTGGAAAAGCACGTACAGAGCTGGCAGCATTCCCTTTCTTACCTTAAATCCTGAGGGGGAAAGGGGACGCTGCTTTAGTGACTTGTTTTCCTACAGTGGCTTTTCCCTGTCAGCATTCAGAACCTTTTCAATTCTGAGGGACTTAGGATGAGGGGTTTATGATTACATGACTGTTCCCTGAATTTCTCTGTTTTACACCTAATTACTTTGTGTGTAGTGAATGCAGGTACCAACTTCACTGCTGTTAATTTGATTGGTTTTAAGCTCCGATTCTTTATAGTGCAATGAATAATAGCCTAATTTAGGAAGTGATTTTAAAAATATTTTTAATTATCTATATGGATGTTATTTTTACACAAGGAATAGCTCAACAATTTAGCACTTCTAATGATCTAACGTTCTCTACGTATAAAAAGCCAAAGGAGGGGGAAATACCCTTCTAGTTAAATTAGGCTTCTAAAACAATTGTATTGGGAAAGATGATGATAATTAAGCTATAACTTAAATATTCATAGTCCTTGATTAAAGTATTATCTGCAAACATATTCTGCTACCATAAATGTTACTGATTCAAATCAGTCTTTTGAACATTGTATTTTAGAGAGATGCCATCTTAAGGTTCTCTTCAACTTGGATTCATAAACCTGTAAAATAGCTGTATAAGTATCTTATAGTAAGAATGTAGAGCATCACTCAGATTTCTCTGAGGAAAAGGGGAACATTTTTGGGAATGGTGAATAATTGCTAGTGTAACAGTAACTGATAACCTACATTGACTATCTAGTATGTCACGTGATTTAATCTTATCGCTTTCAACACAGGCAATTGATCAGCTGAGTTCTGAAATTCCCTTATCTTACACTTGTCTCCTGAGGAGGAACAGGAAGTGGGAGGAGGGTCACCTAAGGATTGCCTCGGGATGATAGTACTATTGATATGTCTGGTCTCAAAAGGTTTATGGGATGCACGCACCAGCTAGCTGAAGGGGATGCAGAGCATCACATTGTAACTCATTCTAGAATATTTACCTTTTTTATCTGGAAACTTCAGGATAGATTATGGTTCCTCTTTCATATCTGCTATTGAGAAATATTTCAACTAGGTGTTTGTTCTCAGTTCATGATACTCAGTGTGCGTTGTGTATGTGTGTACTTGTAACAGCGTCCCTGAGAAGTTTTTAAGTGTTTTTAAACTACCACGGGAATCTCGTTATCACTTACTCACCTTGGTAAAAATGGCTTTTTGAATAAGTCATGTTTCAGAACATATGGAAGATACATTACTCTTAAAGGCTTTTAAGTGTGCATAAAAATGCTGAAAATATAAGACAAACTCCAAATTGTTAATAACTTTAATTTCATCTGCTTGAAGGTTAAGTATCACTGAGTTTTGACTAGTCCAGAGAAGCTATTGACATTTTCAAATGATCTTTTGAAAAACTAGTCAGGCTGTTGTAGTTTCACATTGTGGGGTGTATTTCCTCAGTCCTCAAACGACTTTTGAAAGAAAATGACTGCAGAAAGGAGCAAAGCCTCCAGCAGAAGACAAACCAAGAAATGTTAGGATATGTTTCCAATACTCGATTTTTCTTCTCTTCTGGTGTTCGTGTAAAGATAAGGTACCCGTAGTGATACTTTGTGCTTTCTGTTTCAAGGAAATACCTAGCTATCTCGGCGTTCTCTTTCAGAAATGGAAACGTTTCCCAAGCACTTGTTCGCAGTTCATCCTTGGAAGAAAGTATTAGCGTGTCTGTACAGAAAGAACCAACAGAGGGAGCCAGCAACCACGTGGTGGTAACAAGTGAGCAAAACTCAGAGCCACCCGCCTCGTTGCTGCCTCGGCATCCATCAGAGGATCAGAAGCTTTACCGGGACTTACTGGTAATTCATTTAAATTTGATATTCTGCACTGAATGCAACAGTCAAAACAGCGCACTGCTGAAGTTTTGATGTGGTATTGACATGAATGAAAATTGTGTGCGGCTTTCAAGTTCACATGTTGTGCTCTACACAAAAGTTCCAAGTTTGTGGTCGTTCTTTTTTTTTTTTAAGTGGTTATTCTGTACTTCACTCTTCCATGCATACATGGAGTACTGTCTGCTGCCTAATAAATAGTAATTCTTTTAACTAAAGATAAAGTCAGTTGATAACTTCCCCAATTAGTGCCCTTTAAAATGGCATGCCATTTTACCTTCAAGTCCCTTAAAGGGCAGAACTTGAATCTTGAAGAGTATCAGTATGTGATGTCTTTAAATTCAGAACAGACTCACAGAAAGCTTGAAATGTAAGATATTCCAGTGTTTGACTACACTGCTGTGAGTTTACGTGATTCCATCTGAACTGAATCTGAATTTGGCTTGTTCGTCAGAATAAGCTGTTAACCCATGTAGTTGTATTTTAATTTGCATAAGAATAAACCAGGATTTTGTTTTTTGAGAACTCCTGCATGTCATGATGTTTTCATCCATGTGGTCTCTCCTCTACTCCCTTTTTCTGTAGGGCCAAGTAAACCACCTCTTAAAGTCCTCGGAAGAGAAAGATCACTTGCCTGTTAAAGCAGGATTTGTTAATGATGATGGTCCTGAGTATCAGAATATTGATGATACAACAGAAATGGCTTCAGAGACTGACACAGGAGTGGTGGACAAAGAGAGTGTGATTAGTGCTACACTCAAACAACTGAAGAGTCTTGGAGTGACAATTGACTCGCCTGGCAAAATGAAGAAAAATACACACAAAGTGGAGAATGCCAGGTAAAATGCTGGTTGTTTTGAGTAGTGATTTGTAGATCCAACCAAAAATGAAGATTGGCTCAATGAGCAAAGAGAAGGGACTGTGTTCACTGCTACTGGGGATTTGTTTGGCAGCTTGATCCACATTTCCTGCAAAGATGAAACACTGGCTTATGTTATGGGTATTTCAGATAGGTTTAAGAGCTCTGCTAGCAAAACTCAGATTATTTAAATATAACACAAGTAGCTCTAGCTGTTAGAGTATCTGGTGATTCTTGAAATAGTGTGCGTGCAGTAGCACACAATTGCCTAGAACAATAATGAAGCTGCTTGAGTTATTTCAATCCTTTGGGCTATGTCAAAGTATTCCAGAAAAACACTGGACTTAGGAGGCTGAATGTTAAGCAGCTATATATTTTGTTGCTGCTTCTTAACCCTTGTCTTGCACTTCACCAGTATAAGTGAAATTGCTATTGTGGCTTTGATATATAATCAAAACTGGTTCTGTCCTAATCGCTTGTTGTTGTGAGTGCTTTGACTTGAAACAGGGAGGCTGCAGTGGCTGGGGAGGGAAGCAGCCTCGTTGAAACAGAAGAAGGAGCAGAAGTAATTTCTGGAGAAGGTGTTTGAGGCACAGGAATTTACTTATGTAGCTGCTTAGGCATAGGCTGGCTGCCTGGTACAGCTTCACTTTCATCCTTATTGTCTTCTTGATACCAGTATATAACTGTTAGGTAAACAAAAAAATCTAAACGTCTCCTAATTAATCTCCTCTTCAGCTATGTATCAAAAGCCATTTCCAGTCATGCAGTTTCTAAGCTCTTTTCTCTCCTTTTCACTTGAATTTCATCAGGCATTTTTCTAGAATTTCTGGGCTACCCTCCTGGCTGGAGAGTCTGTCAGTGTTATTTTAATGTCAATAATATGCTAATTAGTGAACCCATAAGACAAAACTGGAATTCCTGGGTTTTTTTCTTCGAACTTGGGGAGCGGGGTGGGATTCTTCCTTCTGCCACTTTCATGACTGATAAACAATTCTGAGAAATGGTCTATAGCTCAATAGAGAAGGAAACAACAGTGCAACTCCGTAGCATAATTAGTGGTTGTGCATCTGAGCCAGGAGTTTACTCTCCCTAAGCAAACTTCAGAATGTGTGCTCAGTGAAATAGGAAGACCCTTAACTCTCAACATGAGGAGTTTGGGTTTATGAACTAGTATATGACACGTGTACTGAATGCACTGGTTTATAACCACTACCGGTGTACAAGAGCTTGTCCTTTCAGTCTTTAAACTAAACACCTAATGTGTACAAGAAATTGGTGTACCAAGCAACAGAACAAATGAACATTTCCCTTACTGAAGGATGCCTTCAAAAACTAGAACCTTGTAGGCTTCTGGAAACAGATACTATGTCAGAGTTCCTGTAAAAATCCTGGAATTGGCATGTATTGGGGAAGGGGAGATGTTCTTGGTCTCTGTCATTGGGCTTGTATCTTCTGTCTAGATAGAAATTTTGGATTGGATGGCAGCATCTAGAGTCTTAGGGCCAGAGGCATATAATGTCACATTCACTGGTGAGAATAGACCAAGAGCTCAAACCTGCTTTAGAAACAAAACCAGCTCTGAAACCTCCTAGAGGCCAGTTCTCCTTCGTACGAGGGTTGTGATTAGTATTGAATCACAAGGGGGATACCATCAATTCTCTCTAACACAGTATTTGGATACTGTCGGTGTGAATAGCTGGAGAGCTGCTTTGTAGTATGTGCAGGATGTATGATCTCGGCACTGAGCAGCCTGATGGAGCTGTGGTGTTCAGAAGGGAGGAGAAATGGGTACAGCAAGCAAAATGAAATTGCCAGATTATATTGTAAAATGCGTACTTCTCCTGTAACACTAAACTGACTTTTTGATGCTTTTTTTTCAGCATCTTAGCATGCATAAATCCTGAAGCAGTTGTTCCCGGACTAAATTATATGTCATTTGCTAATGTCAGCATGTGTGGCTTAACTCCTAATGTTGTTGATCTGAGCATGGAAGCAAACGCTATAGCACTCAAGTATCTCAGTGAAAATCAGTTATCTCGACTTTCTTTCAGTCGCTCAGGCCAAAATCCTCCTGCAGATTTCTCTTTCCAAGACCTGTGGCATACAAATATGGATAAGAGTATGGTGGGTCTTAGCTTAATTTCACCAAACAATATGTCTTTTGCAACCAAGAAGTACATGAAGCGATACGGACTGATTCAGGGCAATGACAGTAGTGAAGACGAAGAGGAACGGCAGGTTCAAGACGGCAGTTCTGGCGCTGTCAAAAGCGAAAGCGTGCTGAACAAAAACTGTACCCCTGTGTTGGATGGCTTCAACCACTGGACTGAATTATCCAAAAGAACTGATGGAAGACTTCCCATTCATCTAAAAAGTCACAGCAGAGAGTTGACTTCTAATGCTTCTCCACCAGAATTAAACAGCCCTGTGTTGAGAAATATTACAAATGAAATTTTGCCTCCCAGAGCAGATCAAGCAGATGAAAACTCAGTTCAGATATTAAAGGATTTAAAATCAAAAACCAAGTTGTTTCCTGGGAGAGTTGAATTCACTGAACAACCTGGCAGGAAAGATGAGGGAGATATTCAGGTCTTCCCTGGAAATCTGCATACTCCGGCCGTTGAAACATTAAACCAGTCGAACAGCATGAATTCTGTCGGCACCATTCTTGATGTGAAACAACTCAGGCAGTTGCCAAAGTTGTTCTGAACATCCCCCGAGATGGCTGGCAACCACTTTTCCAATCTGAGAGGGACCTCTCTGTAAAAGACTACAGGAAACCAAGGATTAAGCTATCTTTGAAGAGGCCGCTCTGTTGTAGCAACGTAAAACTCGCAGAACAGAGTTTTCAGCCCAGGTCGGGGACAGCCACCTCTAAATGCCTGGTTGAGTCGGTGCTGGTCAGCACTGAAGTATGCGTGCACTTTTGTTTACAGTTAGCTGTGATTTTAAAGTATCTAAAAGGTGAATCAACTTGAGCCCGAGATGTACTCTTAATATACTTTTAACAACGATGCTTATTTAAATGTTCTTCTGTTGATTTTTTTTTTTTTTAAAAACACTGACTTTTATATGTTTGTGCCAACTGTGAGCCATCGAGACTGTGTGTGGCAGAGCAGGGGTAACAGAGATAAAGCACTAACTTCTAGAAATTTGCTTGAAATTTGGTTGGATTACTGGGGGGGGTGGGGGTGTGTCTGGTAGGAAGGGAAGTATAACTGTGGCTTTACTTTGCATAAAATTATCTTGAATTCAGCCAAAATGGCACATGTAACTCTCTGTGTCATGAAATCTTGGAAGGAAATTGGAAAAACTAGCACTTTTAAAACTTTTGTGATTTCTTTTTTCCTGAATGAATGTTTTCTATTTATTTAAGAAGTACATATTGCTCATAAAGGTCAAAGGTTCCATTAAAAAAAAAAAATCTTCAATTGTCTGATGTAGCCTTTATTTAAGACATAAGCCACTTCCCAGACATTGTTTAGAATGGCTAACTGGAAGTGTGAGGATGTCACGTGCTACTGCACTCTTCAAGAATTCCGATACTGGGTGGTGGGGTACGCAAAAATAATTGATCTACTTTGTTCTGTATTAGCATACCAATATTCCGTCATCAAGCGCTACAGTCCGTTAATGGAACGGCCCTTTTCAATATCCCTGTGATAACATTCCACAAGCTGAAGAATTCAGTTATTTAATGTTTAACGATTCCATTTCTGTTAAGACTTTGACTTTTGTTGAATTTTTAGCTGTAGTAGGTGTTTCTGTGGTTACTATGTGTTGCCAGTTACGTAGTAACCCCAGAGGTGCCGGAAACCCCAGGTGGCCAGCGCTGGCTGTGACAGCTCTGCCCGCCTTTGAGTACGTCTGAGGACACGGCTCAGCGAGTGTGGCTGTGGTGTAACGCACCTCTGTCCTGACCTCTTGGTCTTGGAAACGAGACAGCAGCGCTGGAAGCTGCAGTTCCTTCCCATTCCCACCGTTCCTGATGGGAGGACAGTGCGGAATGACGGTTGCACCATCTGTTTTCTCGCTGGCTGTAGCCCATCAACATGCTTTAACGGGAGTTTGGACAAACTTTGGTTTAGGGATGGCATTGTCTCAACAGAAGTTCAGCCTACGGTGCTGACCTTGTCTTTCCTGCTCCGAGAGTGTTGAAGTAGAGGTTAAAACACCCCACACTGAAGTCCCGGGCCTTTCCCGTTCAAATCCAAAGGACTGCACTGCTAGTTCATGCTATGTTTGAGTGGGCACTAATTGCTAATTGATTTATTACAGTGACGGGAGAGTGGTTTCCTTCATCTGCCACCCTCGTGGGCCTTTGTGGGTTGAGAATCGGGGGTGAAAGAAGCCATTTGCTATTTCAGAGCCAGTACAGAGAGAGGAAGGCAGCAGCTCCCTTCGAGCTGTGTCAGAATTTCTCCTCTCATGCAGCCTCTTCCATCAACAAGAATATTTGCTTCCTTTCAGGAAAGGCACTACTCTGCTGTGCTGAAAAATAAAACCTTTCTCAGTCCCTGAATCTCCCTGGGATCAAGCACAAGCTTATTACCCGGCAGCACCTTTTCTGCTGAATCAGTCAAAAAATAGTTAATGTTTTTGAACATTCCAGTGAGATGAATGAGGCAATTCATACCTCTGAGCTATTGTTGTAGGGTTTTGTTCTTTGTTTCCTATTGTAAAATGTCTGGAAACACAGGAAGATGACAGTTGTATTGGTTCATATTTTAAAGACTTTCTTCAAATGCTGGAGGGCTAGAAACGATTTGAAAACAAAAGCCGAACTACTTGCACGCAGCTCAGGACGAGGGTGTGGTGTTACATTAAGTTACACAAATCATACAATCCTGGACAGCAACTTCTGAGCGAGTGAAACATGAATTCCCTTGACCAAAACAACAAAAAAACACCCTTCCCTAAAGCGGCTTTTCCTTTCATAGCGTAGTGCTGAGTAATTTCAAGATGCCTGGCTTTTTTTCCTGAAGCATCTAGCGCAGCTTGGAGTCAAAAACGTGTGGAAGGCGAGGTCTGGCTTTGTTAACCCTGAGCAATGGGGACCAAACTCCAGCGCTGGCTCGATCGCATGTTCAGGCGATGACACGTGTGGAGGGGCAGCGCGGTTTAAGGCTTTACTGTTGGGGTTTCTTCTTTTTTGCTTCTGTTATTTCTAGCTATCCTTTATTAAAGGAAATACAGCGCTTGCTTAAAAGCTCTTGGGCCTGCTCAGCGTGTCGCTGATGCTCCGTAGTCTGTATAATTTCGGTGCTCCCTGCCCCTACCGCAGGGCTTGCTCCCTCTTCGCCTTGCAAAAGCGTGGAGAGGGGGCGAGCCCCGGGTTGCCCGGCAGGACCGGGAAGCCCACCCGTGGCAGGGCGGTGGCGGGGAAAGGGGCCCGTTCCCCGCCCCACCAGGGGCCCCGCTAGGCTC